TGCTTACCTTGCTCCCAGAGACCCGGTCCCTCTCAGGAGGGTAACAAGGGAGCCGTCTGAGCACTAGTGACTGGGTTTTACCCCTTTCTCCTGCTCTTCCGGCACTTAAGAGTACAAAAAGCCAGAAGCAATCCCTTACTAAGAATGATAACCCGGTTACCAACCTCCTACTGTGTTGACAACCTCGAGTTTCTGACCAAAAGTCAAAACATTCTTTTTATCTGTATGAACATTGTGTGTTCCCAGCTACAGAGGGCAAGGCAGAAAAGCAAAGCAAATGTTACCTACAGGAAAGCAGAGCACCAGGGCCATGCAGTAGCTCTACGAGGAAAGACTGCATGGCCATTCTCCCTATCACCCAGGAGACACAATTTAAGCCGAAACACAAATAGCTCCCCTCAGCGTTTCCAACAAACAAAGAAATAAACATAACCATCAAAATAAAATATATGCAAACAAACAAATGTTAAATGAACATACTAGAATTCCATACAACATTTTTAGAGACAGAGTGACAGAACTGTCTGTCACAAAGTTTTCCTTCTTCCTGCCTCCCTCTCCAGCTCCCCGACTCAAAAAATTTCCTAGTGTGTTCCAAGAGAAGAGTTACTCTAAGATTTTTGTTTTTAATCACATCAGCTCCTAGTGTGCCTATAAGGACGTCATTGATAAAAATACAGCAACCTCTGGCATAAAAGGAGCAATGACAGACTACAAAACCAGTTGTTTCTATCAGCCAAAACAATGCATTTGTTTACGACGGTGTTCCACTGTTCCGATACATTATTTTCCATGCAGGCAAGAATAAATTGGCATTATACTACGGTTTTCCATGTAATTCACAAAGCAGTGGGAGAACAGTCTGTCTGCTCACACTGAAGGCAAAGAAAGCATCTGAGGAAAGAAGAGATGGCAGTGCGCCATTACCTCTTTGTCATGGGCGATCAGCTGGGTCTTCACGTGACCAGACACAAGGTTGACTCGCCCCAGCACCTGCCCAGTCTCCAGGCCCCAGATGGTACAGGTTGTATCAATGCTTGAGGTCCCTGAAAGCAACCAGTGCAGGTCAGTGGCTGGCAGGAGGGAGGCCCCCACGCAGGCTTCCCTCCTCGTGGTCTGTCCAGCCAAGGGGATAACATGTCCACAAACTGAGTGTCGGGAGTGCCACAGAAATAGTCAAGCATTCAGTCTGCACCTAGGACCTTAGACTCTGACTGGAAGGACAAGATGGACACACTGGGGAAGCTTAGCTCTACACAAGGAATTAACAGCCACTAGCATATTTAGCCTATTTCCCACTTGGTCCTGTTCTAGGGTGATTCCCGTACCTTAGCCAATGGTTAAAAACTGCCCCAGTGTTCCATCTGAGAAAATGTGCCTTTCCTCCTTCTAACTGGAATACATCCTCCCTGACTCTTACCTAAAAGATAAGGATCCACTTCATTCCAGTCAAAGGAGGTCAGCGGCGCACAGAAGTCAGAGTTCTTGTTATTGTTCAGCAAACACTCCAGTCTGGTCTCTGTTTCCCCAACCTAAAGAGACAAGAGCCTTACAAGGTTAGCCAGTCACATTCTCACGGAAAGCCTTCACAGGTCTGTCTACACAGCCATCCTAAGATTATTACACATGGGGGTGGGGTGGATCAATCCCAGAGGAACCTTCCAAATGCTGCTACTTTCCAAACCTTCTCTGCCCAGCTTTGTTTTCTAAATTTCCATCCCCAAATCTTTCTAGAGGAGAGGTCTGCGCACCTTGCCTGGCTGGGCACGACCTCCAAGCTATAGGAGGTGCCACTGACCATTAGCTCATCTGAGAGTGGAGGGGCAGCTCCATGCTCCACTCTCAGATTACCAGAATCCATGGCCTGATGTTATGTTTAATTTACTCAAAAATATCTTAGCTGTAAACAGAAGAAGAGGCCTCAGTACAGCCACTCCACAGCAGGCTGTCATCTTTACTTGGGGTTAACTGAATCTCTGGATTCCAGAGCTGACTCTGCAGGTGGCAGTGTGACTTCAAGGAGCCCTGGTAAGACTTACTAGAAAATCTGCTGTGCCAAACAAGGTCCGTGCATACACACTACCACTTATCCCCCATGTTGCAACGACACAGAAGTTTCACCGCCTTCGACCCCAGTCCACTCTCCATGGTACCAGGCTAACAGCAGGTAATACTGAGAAAGGCCATTGATCTGGTTGCTAACCAAGTTTCTACTTACCCTCCACACACGGAGATAGTCGCCACTTGTAGCCAGGAGATCTGGATAGACGCCTTTTGTATCAGGGATCCACATGAGCTTTGTGGTGGGGTACGGATGGTCAAAGGTGTTTCGGCAAATGAACTCGGAACTCTCCTCATCTAAACCAACAAGCTGGACCTGTAATATATTAAAGTTGAGCCACATAAACCTATGTATTCTTGGGGGCAGTACTGAACACAGTTGATTCTCATTTTCCATGGTAGTTATAGTCAATAAAGCCACTGTGGACACTGAAGTAGCAAATGCCAAGCCACTGACCCCAGAAGAAATGCAGAGTTAGGTTCTTGTGGGTCTCTGGACAAAACATTGTCATCAAGCAATCAACATATATTAATAAGAAAGATATCTTATTAATATATATTTCTTACAAATAATTATATGAAGTGTTTCTTTATATTAAAACGCTGGCAAAAAGAGTGTAACATTTTTCTAAACCCAGGATAACATGACCATCAATTTCTTTGACTTTCAGTCTCCCAACTATGTTGTCCATCACACTTTTTCAATCAGTTGTTGTGTCGAATCCATAAATTTCTGTCTCCAGAGATCTTTACATATACACAGTACTTTCTTAAGATAAAGTCTAAGTGCAACTGTTAAGAGTTAGGATTACATTATTTTGTCACTTAAATTAGGTATCTCTTATGGCTTCTACCAGGAGCTCTGGTGGCTTAGTGCCTAAGGTATTTGACTGCTAACTAGAAGGCTGCAGTTCAAATCCACTAGCCACTTCTCAGAAGGAAGACTGGGCAATCTACTTCCGTACAGATACCGCCTCAGAAACCCACGAAGGGGTCACTATGAGTTGAATCCACTCAACAGCAGCAAGTTTGGTTTGCTTTGGGTATGGCTTCTCCCATGTTTGTTTTCTTAATATCTACTCCTGAACATTGAATATCATAAAACATACAGTCATCCAGGGTGCCTAGCTTATTAGGATGGTCAAACTGACCTACCTCTCACATACTCTCACGAAGAAAGTCGGGAACACCTTAGGGTATGCCCAATTCTTTGATATACCATCTTTCTACATCCAAAATTTGGGTAAAGGACTTTAGGCAGGGGTGCTTTAGTGCACATACTAGTTAAGAAAAAGGTCAGATAAAACTTCACACATGAACAAGAACATAAACTTGGCTGGCAACTAGAATCCAGTATTTCTCTAACCTGAAATTCACCTTTCTAAAATTGGCTGCTTTCATCAATATTACAAGACTGTACCACTTACGTAAGAAAGTCCTGCTCCACCTGAAGCCTTCAATTATGCAACCTAGTTTCACTTCTCAAATTCTTCATGTGTTTGCACAGACTTGTGTTTCATCCTTAGCCAAACTGACTCTAGTGTTTCTGCTCCAAGCTGCTGATCCAGGTATTGAAGGGAATAATGACTGGCCATCACTGTTCAATCTTTTGTTCATATATTCAGATTTTTAAATTTTAACAATGAAAAAAAATGTAAGCTCTCTGAATTTTTATATAAAATGTAGTCTCCCATGAAAATCATCCCCAACTCTGCTTACTGACCCCCAAACCACTATGTGATGTTTATTTTTCCAAATGTTTCTCCTGCATTCATACATATGTGTATATGCGGTTTTAAAAATACATAATTTATATATATAAGCTTAGACCATAAAATGTATTCTGCAATTTGCCTTTTTCCTAAAAGTAGATCTTCCCATGTCAGTACAAATAGCTCTACCTCATTCTTCTACAGCAGATCTTGGAAAAATAAAAAAATCCACTGCCATCGAGTTGATTCCGACTCATAGTGACCCCCATTGGGTTTCCAAGGCTTTAAATCTTCACGGAAGTAGGCTGCCTCATCTTCCTTCCACACAGCAGTTGGTGGGTTCGAACCACTGACCTTCTGGTTAGCACCCAAATTTCTTATCCACTACTCCACCAGAGTTCCTTGCAGACTATGGTAACCATACCATAACATTTAATTATTCATAGTTATTTTGGTTATATGCCATTATTTTGTTATTAAAAACAATAACAGCATAAATATCCTTATATTCATTTATCTTGAACACATGAGTATTTTTACTGGTAGATTACTGAAGTGTATTTGTTACATCAAATTTTATTTATTTTTAACTTTTTATTGTCCTTTCAGAGAAAGTTTAGGAGCAAATTATTTTCCCATTCAATAGTTTATATACATTGTTTCACAACATTGGTTGCAATCCCTTCAATGTTAACAGCACTCTTCCCACTTCCTTCCTGTGTTCCCAGTTCCCCATTCACCCTCTTTTGGGGCAAATGCTGCCCTTTTGGTCTTGTATAGTCAACTGTACTACATCATATTTTAAATCTTAATAGAATCTGTCACACAGCCTTCAAAAAGATTGCTGATTTACATTTTCATTAACAGTGTATTAGTGTCAATTTCTCCCTACCTTTGAAAATACTGAAAGCAATCAATCTTTTACATTTTTGCTAATCTGATGAATGAAAAATGGCATTTCACAGCTATTTTACTATTGAGGCTGAACATATTTATCAACTGTTTTTATTTCCTAATAATAGTTAACTTATCTGACTGCTTATATATCATTTCAGTTATGTAAGTATAGTTACCTGTAGGATGAATTCCCATAGGTGGAACTATTGGGTCAAAGGATAAATCTATTTGAAAATTTGATAGCGAATGCTACTTGTCTTCCACTGAGAAGTGATGTATGTCAATTTTTAAAAAATCTTTTTATTACGATTTGGGTAAAAGTTCCCATAGCAAATTACTTTCCTATTCAATAATTCATACACATTTTGTTTCATAACACTGACTACAATCCCACATGTTAACAGCATCCTTCCTGCTTCTTCCTGTGTCTCCCATTTCCAGTCGTCCTTCTTTCTTGCCCCTTCCCACCTTCTCAACTTGGTTTCTGGGCAAATGCTGTCATTTTTATCTGGCATGGCTGACTGTTCTAAGGAGTGCATACCTCTCTGGTATTACTGTTCACCCTATAGGCCTGTCTAATGTTGGGCTTAACAGGTGGGCCATGGGGGTGAGTTCTGGTCCAGGCTTGAAAGGTGAGTAAGTGTCACACCCTGGGGATTCCACTAGTCTCTATCTGACCAGTAAGCCTTGTCTTTTTTTATGATTTTCAATTTCTTCCCACATTTTTCACCCACTCTATCCAGGGTCTTCTACTGTGATCCCCTTCAGAGAGGTTGGTAGTGGCAGCCAGGTACCATCTAAAAAAAGATGGTACCAAAAGAACTATTCTTTTGGTTTCAGGGTCATGGAGGCTAAGGTTCTTATGGTCCATTAATCTGAACTAATTGTTTCCATGTGTCTGTGATTTTCTTCACTCTTCTTTGCCCCGGATAGAGAAAGATTAAAAGGTGTACCTTAGATGGCTGCTCACAAGCTTATAAGACTCCAGTTGTAACTCACCAAAGTAGGATGCAGAACATTTTCTTCGTGGACTATGTTGTGCCAATTGACCTTGATGTTAACTGAGACTATGGTCCTGAGCCCCCAGACCCAGCGACTCATTCCCTCAAGGTGCTCAGTTATGGCTAAGAAGTTTTCATAACTTTGCCCCTTGTAAGCTCTACTATACTTACGGATATATTTGGAGCACATATAAACACATATTTAGAAATATCCTGTCATACCTCTATATACTCATTAGTATATTCCCATTTGCCTTCCTACCCTGTTCAGCTTGAGTGTTTATCTACGCATCTACTCATAAGTTACTGTTATTACTGTCATTGCAGGATTGTGCAATAGTATTTACTTGTTATCTTTAATTCTTATGCTTCTCCTAGTGCCTTGATCATTTTGTACCGACCTTTCCCTTACTGTATATTGCCTTTCCTTTCACAGGTTAATGTCTACACTCTAGTGATTTACCATTCCTTTTCCTCCAACCCTTGGTAACCATCAAAGAATGCTTCTTCCTGTGTGAAAACCTTTTCTTGACTTTACAGTAGTGGTCTAAGATAATACTTGTCCTTTTGCAATTGACTAATTTCACGCAGTGTAACTGTCCTCCAGGTTCATGCATGTTCTTTCCCAGATTAATGAGAAATGTCGTGTAGCATCCCACTGTGTGTATGTACCACAGTGTACTGATTCATGCACTCACTGATAGGCATTTAGGTTGATTTCATCATTTTGCTATTGTAAACAGTGCTGCAATGAACATGGCTGGGCATATATCTATTTATTCACAGCTTTTATTTCTTTGAGATATGTACCTAGTAGTGGGATTGCTGGAACAAATGGTATTTTTTTACCAACTTTTTAAGCAGGCACTATACTGTTTGGCATAGTGGTTGTATCATTTTACAGTAGCACCAACAGTGTAAGGGTTCTAGTTTCTCCACAACCTTGCCAGCATTTTTTTTTTTTTAATTTGCTGTTAATGCTGGGGTGAGTTATCTCATTGCTGTTTTGATTTGCATCTAATAGGTAATGATCACGATGCAACCATTTCTCCGTATGTTTGCTGGTCACCTGACTGTCATTGGTTAAGTGTCTGTTTGTGTCCTCTGCCCATTTTAAATTTGATTATTTCTGTTGTTGAGGTGCTGAAGTTTTCCATAAATTTTAGAGATTAGCCCCTTGCCCAACATATTACTGCCAATTTTTTTTCCCCAGTCTGTACATTCTGTTTTTACTCTTCTGGTGAAATCTTTTAATGTGCCTAAGTGTTTAATTTTTAGGAGGTCCAAGTCATCTAGTTTGTCTTCTGTTTGTATGCTTTTAGTTATGTTTTATAATGTACTCATGCCATGTACTAGTGTCCCCTAACTTTGCCCGTTTTTTCTTTGATAATCTTTATATTTTTAGGTTTTACATTTAGGTCTTTGATTCATCTTGAATTAGTTTTTGTATATGGTGTGAGGTAGAGATCCTGTTTATTTTTCTGCAAATGGATTTCCAGTTTTGTCAGTACCATTTTTAAAGAGACCATCTCTTCCCCATTTAATGGGTTTTGGCCCTTTGTCAAACATCAGCTGTCCACAGGTAGATGGATTTACTTCTGGGTTCTCAATTCTGTTCCACTGGTCTATGTGTCTGTTGTTCCATCACTATCATGCTGCTTTGACTACAATAGCTGCACAGTAGGCTTCAAGATCGGGAAGTGTGA